TTCGCTTCGATGGGCGTCTGAAAAAGCGTGGTGTGAACGGGTGTTTTTATATGTTTTTATAAGTCGTTTTGATGCTTGAATCTTGAAGTTTGCACTGCAAATAGGTGCAAATGACGTGTGGATTGAACGGGAATTGGTTTTGGAATTGGTGCCAAAAGTGTGGAAAAGGGTTCGAATGCAATTTCCAACCACAAGTGCTTGGGCCTTTGGGTGGTTTGAGAACAACCATGCCTAAGACCAAACTCCTGTCGTTGCCGATCACCAACTGCTGGTATGATCATGTGGGCAGCACTATTTCGATGTTTGCACTGCCACTGTTGGGGTAGCAGATGGCCGGATGGTGCGCTGGACCTGAACGCACAGGTGTTAGTACAGATCAAAAAGCATTTGGACACCTCGGTGAACTGCTCCTCGATGCTATGCAAGATTGCTAGGCGGGGCCGGTGGACACAGAAGAGAAGAGATTGACAGTGTAGGGCCGACGTCGTGGGAGGAGCCCCTGAGTGACAACCAATCTATGTACATGACCACCATGGAGATGAGATGGGCATACAACCACATATATATATATATATATATTCACGTATAAAAGTATATATATATATACACTATATATATAATATACACTTGGTAGTAACATTTCTTTTTCAGATAGTGTGTATATGGTATGGTATGGTATGGTATGGTATGGAATGGTATGGTCTCGCAAAGCATGGCATGTATGATCTCCATAGTGATCTCCAAACATTCTCGTCCTCTGAACGCTCAAAAAATCACAAAAGTGACACTGTGAGCCAAGGTCTTGTTTGGCCTTCTGTTTGAGATATGTGCTGAGAATCTCAGCAAGTCTGGCAAAGGAAACACGAACAAGGACCTTGGAGACTGAATGATACGAAGATTGAGATGTCAATCGAGAGAAGGGGAGAAGATGTCCGATCAGAAGACATATCCTTTATTGGAACTTTGCATACTCCAGTATGCACGGAAGTCATTGGGCAACCCACCTTGCCTTGGGGGGTAGATAGAAGAGAATATTATACAGAATCCCCTATGGACCCCCATTTAAAAGACCTCTTTGGGTTTGTGCCGAAGCTTTGCAAAATTTCTTCCCTGCACGGTGCCGCTTGAGCACAGGCCTCTCATCGACCATGAGCACTTGCCCGACCCACCGGAGAGAACAAAAGGGAAGGGCAAAGGCGAGGAGAAAGGTGACAGCGGCTTGGCAATGATGCTTTCGTGATGGGACGAAGTGGCTGCGACGGGAAATCTTTGGAGAACATCCGAGATCCGAAATCCCATTGTGGGGCCGCCAAAGACTTGAACCTTCAGACATCATGGGGCCGCCAGATGGACACTCAAGAGGGACCTTCGCAATTTACTGGGGTAAGAGGTGATGGTGGACAATACCACCATGGACTCATCCCTCTTTAAAGCTAGCAGCTAGGTACCTTTCTGAGACAAAGAGATACCAAGACCATCCAAGCTCTCGGCAGCTATTGGCCTTGAACAGAGGTACAACCCACATTTCAAGGAAACATGGGCGATTGTCCTCACTTGTTTGATCCCCATTTATGAGCGTGCAGCAGATTCGGAGTAGATCACGGGCGGGGACTACTGTATGAATGGAGTTTGGAATTAGTGCCATTGCATGCCATCTACCTAAACTGTACCATCGTGTACACTAACACAACCCTGCTAGCACAACTTAGCATGATATTGCATATACATATATATATATACACACATTATTTGTATATATTGTCATAATTGATATGTAGATATTACCATTCATATTTATGTTCTATCGCATTCGATGTCCATCCATTCAGACGCCCGGCCGCCCCAGGAGGTGACCGTGGCCGGACCGACGACCGCCGCAACGACCGGCGGTCCGGCGACCGGGGCGACCGGGACCGGCGCCGGGAGCGGAGCCGGGAGCGGCGCAGCCGGGATCGCCGGGGCACCGAGCGGAGCTTCCCGGGGTTTTCAGGAACGTGTCCTCCAGCTACAACAGGAAGCTGTGGTTGTGGAAGGGTCTTCACTAGCAGTGCGGGGAAGTGCACGGGCTTGTTTGCATGTGGCTGGGAAGGGTTTTGGAGTCTATCCATCTAAGCCAGAGGGTGGCCTCTTTTTGAGAGAAGCCTTTATGGGTGCAATTTGGAAGAGGGAGACTCTCCAACCACTGCCAGTGGTGTTCTCCTCTCGTCGGGGGGGTCTTTGAAGGGTCTTCCCTTTTCCTGGGTGGCTTTCCTGCATTCTCCTTATTTCAACCGACACCCATATCATCCCCTATCAGCAGAGTACTTTGGTCAAATCCGGCGCAGCGGCGCTTGCTTTCACATCATCATAGGGCACCCGACGCTTTGAGGAGCTATGCGAGGCACACCACATTTGCATGATTTTGTATACCCAAGAATGACTAACCTCGACTAACCTCAAACATCTGGCTGCTGGTCCAGGTCCAGTGGTTTGCATCCAACTAAAAGAACATACATACCTCTGGGGGCAGGAAGTTTCTCCTCCCCCAAAACCACTCCGGGCAGGTGAAGGCAGGTCCTTGTTTTGTCCAAGTCTTGATACTGCAGACCCTGCAGACTGGAGCTATCGCGGGGAGATGTTGAACAGTGAACGAGGTATATACAGTTACATACCTTATATATTCTACTAGACTCTGGTACCAATTTTTCTCAGAGAATCGAAGTGGACCAGGCGGCAGCCTCCAGGTGCAGCATGCAGGGTGGGTGTAAGAAGTGCAAGCAGACGTACCGCCCAGCGACAGCCGCGTGTCGCTGAGGGCGAGACCGGAGCCGGAGTCGCAGTCGGAGTCACCGGCGACGAGACAAAGAGAAGGAGAAGGAAAAGGAGAAGGAAAAGGAGAAGGAGAAGGACAAGGAGAGACCAAGCGACAAAGGGACAGAGTACCATTGTCATAAATGTGAGTGGGAAGGAGGCTGTTTAGATCACTTCTACCTCGTAGATTGCCTTGTGAGTAGTGCAGAGTGTATCAGGTTCGCTCAGAAAAGGAATAGGGTGGCCAGTGCTTGAGAGTGGGAGGAATGCAGCTGCCAGGCTCCCAACAAAACACCTCTCAGCTGACACGTGCACGAAAAGTCCTGAGCTATCTACCTTCAACATCCTTCAAGTATCTACCTTCATGTCAATTTGCTCGTCCCAGTCGCTCAGACCAGCCGGCCCAGCACAGACTGTCCTGTTTCTTTTGAGTGACCTGGTGACCACTCGCGCAGGAGAAGGATGACTGAGGGCGCCCAGCTCCAGCGGCGCGCGAGCTGCTCCGTGCGAGCTGCTGCCGCTCCGTCTGAGCGCCGTGTCCAACTCGAGCGAGTCGAAGGGGTCGAAGAAAGGTCGAAGAGGTCGAAAGTTCTGCCCGGCGTCGTTCGGCATCAGCATGGTGTCACCATGGTGCCACCACGGTGTCATTTGCTTTGAGGACTTGGGGCTTTTAGAGAAAGGTGCCTTCGATGGATGTCTCAATGACCTACAAGAACATCTGAGTCAAGGCATTCCTTCGCATCAATTCCTTCGCTACCGCTTAGTTGTTCCCAGATTGGATGCGGCGTGGGTGGTGTTCCAAAAGTCCCCGGTTATCACCCGAGGTTCACTTGTTGCCTCGACTGTGGCAGTCCCATAGTTTGAGACATGAAATGCTGACGCGCCTTGGGTTTGAATCCTTTCTCTTTTGGGTATATTTGATTGAACAGTTGGTGACGGGATCCTTTTCCTCCTTCAAACGCCAGCATGAGAGGCTGCAAGTCCCCCACCAGGCCGGCGTCCTCTAAAACATGGAAGCAGGATGAAGCATGCACTTTGAAACGTTCCGGGGTGATCGCAGGTGCCACGGTGAAGCTTTTGTTCAGGTTTCTGATTAATTGCTCGATTTTGCTGCACAGAATGTAACTCAAGAGACACATCAGGGCTGCCAGCAGTGTTGGACGGGCGCGTGTCGTTCCTATAGCGTTTCACACTCCTTATTGCAATGGCAGCAGCTGGTTTCGCAATTGAGCTGTCCTTCTGTTGGCAAGAACAGACAGGATAAACCAGGTGTGAACACTTCAAAGGTTGGCAGGGTTTTCTTTCCTGTTTACCCCTGACTACCAAAAGAGGTTTTCCTCACAAGAGGGCACCAAGTGCTGTCACATGAGTGCCGATCGATACATGGCCTAGGATTTTTTGGTGGTCCAACACCAGATTTATCAAGTCCTGGTTCAACCTTGTGATATCTTGTGATGACTTTTCCAACTGTTTGCTGCCATTGCTGCCAGCAGGAGCCAGGCAAGAGATGGGCGCACACATACGAAGCCTCGGGGCGATCCGAGGAGAAATGCAGTCGGACAGTTTTGGTCAATTTTGAGGGCGATTCATGATTCCAGTGTGATTTCTCAGTCAATCACCCCCTTCGACTCTTCAAAGGACCCTTGGGGTGCGAGAAAGCGAGAGTCACGGAGATGGGAGAGAACTAACGTGCAAAACGTTAACAAGTACTCCTATTGCTGGATGAGCCTGCTTTTGAAGCAGTTCCCATATTTTGTAAGTTAGAGGTCCATTGAACATTCAATAGGCCATGCTGTGAGCCTTTTTAGGTGGCCCGCAAGATCAACCCCTTTGCAGCCAACTCAACCGCGCCTCAAACCTTGGGCGCATGACGCCTCGCGCCACTCACGTGTGCACCAGAAGACCTGCCAGTGAGGTGGTCGTTCAGATGGCGGAAGAGCCTCCCAGCTATGAAAAAAGGGGCGCAGTGGAGACAATTCTTGGTGGGTGAGATGGCCCTTTCTCTTGGTGTTCGATCATGAGAGGGACATGAAGATCCCACTCCGTGCCCAGGCTCTATGAAATCGTTTCGAATTCAGAACCAACGCATTCGATCTGGCGACCTCCTCCTTCCCTAGACGCAGCGGGGATCTCAAACCCATGGAGGCTGTTTCGGCGTGATCTTGACCCCAAAGAAAGCAGGTAGGCTAGGCCTGGGCGTATGCACTCAGGTGCACCATGGGAGTGTTGAGCAGCTCCCTTTTCATCTTCACTGGGCCCGGAGCGCCTAAGACTTCTCTTTCTGGCGCGAAGGGCGGCACTGGCACGGGCCGGTTGGAGAAGAGATGAGAAGAGGGGATGCGGTTCTGGTTCATTTCTGGGGACGCTGTTCTGGTCTTCGAGATGGGATGCCCTTTTCTCATATGATTCAGTATGATTCATTGGAAAGTTTGGTCAAGTCGACATCTATTTTCCAGATCAGTTCCATGGCCCGAGTGGAGAAGCCTACTCTGATGACACCGCTTTGGTCGGGTGTATCGACCGGCGGTTCTTTGTCTTCACTGGCAGACGGTGGCTGGACCAGGTAGAGATGGGTCGCGTGTCAACGAAGCAGGAGACCTCTGCGACGAACCTACTTTTTGGCATTTCTATTTTCCTGAGACTGCTTTGAGATGGACGACATGGCGGTGGGTCATGGCACCCGTTGCCCCTTTTCACGCTGGTAGGTTGACCTTGCCAGTCTATTCTGTAGTCTATACTGTGGTCTTTCGGTCCCCTGATTTTGACCCATAGGAAAAAAGATGTTCACATTGGTCACTTCTTGAGTGGTCCAATCAAAACAATCTCTCCTGCGGATTCTCTAGCAACTCGCAGCACTTTCCGAAAGCCTCGGATGCTGGTCGATGTTCTCAGTTTTAACCTCCCAGACTCCGTGCCAGACTCCAGTTCTTATCTACTCCGTGCCAGGATCCGGGCCCTCAAATTTCCAGGGTTTCGAGGGTACCATGGAGGGTCGGATCCTTAGCGTACTTGGTTTTCTTATGGGCCCCAAATCACACATGCGGCAGCTTCGCGGCCGTTTGGGTCACCCGTCGACCCACTGGGTCGCACCATGGACCCGCAGAGCGCGCCGCTGTGCGGGTCGGGGCGCAAGGTGAAGTGCCCTCCCGACGCGGATGCTGTGCTGGCCATGCTAGGCAGGTGGTGGTGATGGTGGTGGTGGTCGTGGTGATGGTGGTGGAGACAGGGTGCCGGGTGCGGGTGCTGGGTGCCAGTGCCGGAGTTGTGAGCTGGCGGTGCACGTGGTGGAGACAGGGTACCGGTGCCGGGTGCCGTGGTGGAGACAGGGTGCCGGTGCCGGTGCTGGGTGCTGGCTGTGCGCGCTTGGCACGTTGCAGAGACAGGGTCAGGGTGCCGTCTTCTGTTCTCAATTCTTACGCGTGACCTTTGGGTCCTTACAAGTTGTGTAGCTTGCATATGTGAGGGGGTCTATTGTCGGATCTTTTTTTGTTCCCGCGCTTTCGAGACAGGGTGCCGGTGCTGGGTGCCGGTGCCGGGTGCTGGTGCTGGCTGTGGTGCTGGTGCTGTGAGCTGGCTGTGCACGTGGTGGAAACAGGGTGCCGGTGCTGGGTGCTGGCTGTGCGCGTGGTGGAGACAGGGTGCCGGTGCTGTGAGCTGGCAGTGCGCGTGGTGGACACTGACTGGGTGCCGGTGCTGGGTCTGGCTGTGCACGTGGTGGAGACAGGGTGCCGGTGCTGGCTGTGCGTGTGGTGGAGACAGGGTGTCTGCGCGCATACTTTTGTACGCGCACTGTTCTATACGCAACGTCAGGCTCTCCATTGTTTCAGCATGTTTGAGCCTGCTACACACAAAATAGTCGTGCTGGATACTGCTTGGCCTTGGGCGACTGAATCCTACGGGCTTTGCCGTGTGTGCGCACACTTTTGCGCGCATAAACTTATACGCGCAAGAGCACACTAGCTATAGCTATGGGGTTCTTACTGCAAACTTTTTTGAATGAGCTGGCTGCGCGCGCTTTCGAAGGGGTGTCAGTGCTGGTGCTGGTGGTGGTCCTGGGCGCTGGTGGCTGAGCGCGCGTTTAAGACGGGCGGCGGTGCTGGTCGGGCGCTGGCGCCGCCCCGGTGTTGTCAGCTGGCAAAGCGCACCGGTGCTGGTGTCAGCTGGTTGCGCGCGCTGTGGAGGCGCCGTAAGCTGGCTGTGCGTGCAGGCTGTGTACATTCTTGGTCTAGCCAGTCGCATGTCAACACATTGTGATATGCTGCCTAGCTATGTGGGTCTATGCTGGTTTAATTTCAGCATGTTTCAGCATGCTACACACACAACAGTCGTGCTGGATACTGCTTGGCCTTGGGCGAGTGAAGCCTACGGGCTTTGCGCCGTTTGTGCGCATACTTTTGTGCGCATTAACTTATACGTGCAAGATCATACGGCCTTATCGTTCTGCAGATCGTTGCTTCAAGCATGCTTAAAGTTAATAAGTGGCGCAGGATACTGCTTGGCCTTGGGCCAATGACACTTACGTGCTGTGCGGTTTGCGCGCATACTTTTGCGCGCATAAACTTTTACGCGCAAGATCATTCCCCAAATAGGGGTAGCTATGGGGTTCTTGCTGCAAATAAGAATGAGCTGGCGCGCGCTTGCGAAAGGGTGTCGGTGCTGGTGCCAGCAGAAAGAGGGCTGCCTCAGCACTCCTCTAATAGCCCCTCGCCTACCTCGCCGGCAGATCAACCCATGCAAGGGGACGACCAGGCACCTGTTGCAGTTGCTGATGCGCGCGCGGCGTCTTCCTCCGGGCTGCCCACGATACGTGAAGAGGTAGTGCAGAGCAACAGAGCCACTCCGCTGCAACCTGTGGCCCGTTGTTGTGGTCCTGGGTGCTGGTGCTGTGAGCTGGCTGAGCGTGCGTTAAAAGACGGGCTGCGGCGCTGGTCTTGTGCTGCGCTGGTCTGGTGCTGGCGCCGCTGTCGGTGTTGTCGGCTGGCGCAGCGCACCGGTGCTGGTGTCAGCTGGTTGTGCGCGCTGTGGAGGTGCCGTAAGCTGGCTGTGCAGGCTGCGTGCATTCTTGTTCCAGCCAGTCGCATGTCAACAGGTCGTGGGATTCTAGCCTAGCTATCTGGGTCTATGCTGGTGTAATGTGAGGGCACGAACCAGATTCGAAAGCGCGCGCAGCCAGCTCATTCTTATTTGCAGCAAGAACCCCATAGCTATATATGGGGAATAACAACGTATAATCTTGCGCGTATAAGCTTATGCGCACAAAAGCATGCGCGCAAGCAGCAAAACCCGTAGGCTTCACTCCCCAAGGCCAGCACGACTATTGTGTGTGTAGCATGCTGAAACATGCTGAAACAATGGTCGGTTGAGGGCCTGACGTTGTGCATAGAATCTAGGCATAGAACATTATACGGAAATTATACGTACAAAAGTATGCGCGTAAACAGCACAGCCCTTGACACAGCTGTCGGCCAAAACAGAACCTGAAGAGTGTAAATACCCCACAGCACCAATGGACAAAGAACGCTCCAGCGACAACACCGTATGATGTTGCGCGCATAAGTTCATGCGGCCCATGACTGCTGGCACTTCATTGTCAGAAGCGGCGCTTGGTCGCCCTTCACTGCTGCAAGCGGCGGTTTGTTACCCTTCACTGTCAGAAGCGGCGGTTGTTATCACTTCACTGTCAGAAGCGGGCACCAGCGCCAAGCACCGGCGCACCAGCACACAGCCACCGCCCAGCACTGGCACCGGCGCCCGCTCCACCACACGCACAGCCAGCGCCGGCACCCTGTCTCCACCACGTGCACAGCCAGCTCACAGCACCAGCGCCCGGAACAACCAGCACCGGCGCCCTGTCTCCACCACGCGCGCAGCCAGCTGACAGCACCAGCACCGGCACCCTGTCTCCACCTCGCGCACAGCCAGCACCTGGCACCAGCGCCAGCAACCTGTCTCCAGCGCGTGCACAGCCAGCTCACAGCACCGGCACCAGCACCAGCAACCTGTCTCCACCACGCGCACAGCCAGCTCACAGCACCAGCACCAGCACCAGCACCGGCACCAGCAACCTGTCCCAAGGTGCACAGCCAGCTCACGGCACCAGCGCCACCACCGGCACCCGGCACCAGCAACCTGTCTCGAAAGCGCGCGCGGGCAACTCATTGTTATTTGAAATAAGAGCTCCATATTTGGGGAGAAGCACTGCGAGACTCAGTTGACTGAAAGAGGAAAACAACAAATCCCAGATAGAGGCTCCACAACATATACCTAACCAGCGCATGGGTGTTCCATGATGGTCCCCCCAATTTTTCGTGCAGGTTTCAGACAAGGTGTCCAGCCGCACCCCCAACTGGGGTCACTGGCGAGAAACCTAGGCTTTCCAGGTGACCCGCTGGACGCCAGGCGCCGGGCTCCTGGATGTGGCGATCCTCCACACTGAGGACGGTACGGCTTTGGGGTCGAACAGCTGCGGTGTTTGATGAAATTTGGTCCTGCAAGTCCCCAGGCCCTCCGATGTTTCTCGACGATCCCGCCTCAGCGATCTCGCCGGTTTGTTGGACCCACCTGGCACGAGCGGCACGAGCGGCGGCACGAGGATGTGGTGCATGCAGTGTCCATGGGCAGTTCGTTTGGGAACCCAGGAGAGTTTGGGACTTGTGACCAACCAGTTCAGAACAGGGGCGACGGAGAAAAAACTCCGCGCAGCTACGCTTGCAGCTCAGTTTGTGAGTTTGTTTGGGTAGATGAGATGAACTCAGCTTAGATCGTCTCTCAAGCTGGGGGCTCAGACTTGGTAATTAGTACGCATATTAAATACTTGAAACTACTTGAAACTGTGGCTGGTGCACCCTGTGGCATTTGAGAGGTGCCTGGCCTCCCCTCCACAACTTCTGAGGCTGCGCATTTGTGGCACCTACACTTCTTCGTCCAGGGCCAAGCCTGGAGAGAGTGTGTCTTCATGAGAGTGTGTTCAAGATTCAATACAATGTAGACCCAGGCAATCCTAGACACTTCTCTTTGACTGTCCTTAATCTTGTAGCAACTGGAATCCACTGGGAGAGACAGGACACCACTCGGATCAAGGTCCATCGTTTGAAGTCTCACTTGTTGGAGAAAAGGGGACAGTCCAGTCTATGTGAGTAGGTCGCTAAATATCAGTCAGACCCTCCCAAACACTGCCTCCCAAAGGTTGGTTTATGGACTATTATAGATTCTCATATGATTTCAACAAAAATTTGAAATCCATGTCAATGCCATTTTCCAGAGCTAATTTTTTCAAAAGGTGATACACTCACAGTGATGTTTATCCAAATTCAACAAATCCTTGTATCCTGGTGCACCCCATCTTCTTCGGAAGCTGAAGATCTGCGGAGAAAGCCACATCGCCCGAGGCCTGGGGACCCCAGCACTGCCCTGGGACGGAGGCATTCTCCAAGGGTGTATCGGTCTTGGGGCCTCAATCTGAAAGCTAGGAGGCCCCAAGCAAGATCCAACCCAGCTAAGCTTTGTAAATCAGGATTTCTTCCAGAATACAATCACCCCAAAGTAAATCAAAGAGGTCGGCTTTTGTCCACCTCTCCCACCTCCAAACCTTCCTCGCCGCGCTCCCCGCGCTCCCCGGCTCGGCTCGGTCCCTGAGGCCCCGGTGTTGGGTGCCCCAGTGGGTTACGTGGTGAGCTGACAAGGTTGGTAGGTACACTGGCACACTGGTGGTTGAATCATGTCGAATCCAGATATTACAAGCTGTTAAGACTTAATTGAAATTTGTCACATTGATTCAACATGATCATTTCATGCTCTCAGAGGATGACAGCACTTGCAAGAACGGTATGAGCCTGGCGCCAGTGCTGGACCGGACCCCTTGGATCCCCTTGGTTTCGTTCCGCGGTGAGGACAGCTCCTCCCTGGGTTAGCTCTCCTGAGCCATGTGAGACTGAAAGGTTTTGGCCTCTACATCCTGAACCAGAAGAAGGTGTGGACCCGGTGCCGAGGGGCCGAGCCCTTGGGGGCCCAATCAATGGCAACATGGGTGCAAGGATGACCACAAAAAGAATCAAACTGGTGTTTGGGAATCCACACGAATCCTGTTATCCACTGGATCGCCAGTTCCTTGGGCCTTGGGCTTCGTGCTTCCCAGCCGCTTTGTTTGGTCTCTCCTTCCTGGGCTTCGGCATTTCTGCTGCGGTGACGTCGCCGCAGGGACCTGGATGGATTTCATGGGATTTGCACACAGCCTTGGCATCCGAAACGTTCTCTCCAGACCCGGATGTAGCCGCTACGTCCTTTTGGTTTAGGGGATTTCTGAGGTTTCAACCTGAGAAGCCAAGGCCCGGACAGCAAGGAAACCAACGAAGAAGCGGTTCACCGGTGCTGGGGGTTGCCTGCGCTGCAGGATGAAGAGAGTGAAACTCTTCGAAGCCCGTGTGGTGCGCTGGGAATCGGGGCAGTGATGGAGAACTCCGGGGTACCTGGGAACTGGGACTTCGGGGTGTCGAAGAGTGGACGACAACAACCCAGGTGTGACGAGGAGGATTGGCTGGATTTTCTGGTGGAAAATAACCCGAAGTTCGGAGCAGCAGCAAGCTCCCTGTATGCGTGGCGTTCTTTAAACCACTCTTAAACATCACGAAACATCAATTTTCCTGAAACTCGCGATTTTCACGCCGCATGGAGCCCTGAATGCAGGGCCACGGTGCTGAGCAACACCGGTTTTCTTTCAACTCGATTAGCCCTGACCAGAGTGTGACTGACCCGATTTGGTCGAGGCTTACTCCACAATTCCTTGGGTTCGCAACTGGCCTTGCCTCTTGGAGATGGGTGAGGGGGGCCGGGTTCGTTCGGGGCGCAGTCAGCGGGGTTCGGGAGCGCGAATGGGCGCTTAAAGGCTGAGCCGGTCGAAGTCAGTGGAGTCCCAGTTGGGTCAGCGAGCATCCGCCCTAAATGGAGGGTCCGGGAGACCGGAGCTTGGGTCGCTTGGTCACCCAGCTTGCTCGCCTCACTTGACACAGAGGCGAGCCGAGGCTGTTGCTAGTAAGCTTCACACATTCAACCAATCTTTCTTCTTGGCCCAAATACAATTACAAACCCCACTTACACTTAGTGGGAAGCGACTGCCACAGGTCACCACCGCTTTCACCCTCAACTATTTCCAATTCGAAAGAGATTTCTTCCAATACGTCCTCTACGTCGTGACTGGTTTTGGCTTGTCGAAGGTCGAAGCCAACAAACAAGGACTAGTCTGTGGTCCTCCAGCACCAAACAAGGGGGTCGTCCATTGTCCATCAACCAATTCTTGGGGGTCCTGATAGATCTCTATGCTGGCCATAGGATGTTTCCTCCTGAACGGGCTCGTGAACTACGTAATACTACGTAACTATACGTAACTGTCCTCTAGAAATCTCTCGAATGCGCAATCGAGGCACATCTTGGGGCAAGAACGAGATTGGCGGGCCCAAGGCCAGAGAGCGCATGCGAGCGCCATCGGCGGGCGGCAGGTGTCCGCCGCTGGCGGGACCCAACAAGTAGAACGGACGCGGCTTGGCTTCTGAACAACAAGTCCTTTGGAACCTCTACAAGGCTTGCAGGACAAGTCTTCCTCTCTTCTCCCTCCTTAACCAAGAAAAAGATACTAACCCTTGGAGGTTCATTTGGAGGCTCAACGATTCGGATTTTGGCTAACTCGGCCAACTCTCTGCGAGGTGCCAACAATTGAAAGGCGTAGGTTCAGAGGGGGGCACAGGTTGCAGGGTGTGAGAGATGATCACACTGATAACTTCAAGACTTATACAATCTTATACGTAAAGGTCTGACTCACAAAAGCTTCTTCATACCTCACAGACTGGATTAATATGATAAATATATGAACATGCAACGTGGAGGATTCTATATTCTATAAGGATGTTCAAGGCTTGTTGCTGCATGGTGCTGGGCTTTGCCTATACACTCCTGATTGTTATGGTCGAGAAGCCATATTCTTGCTGACACTGCGCCAGGAAACACAATCACTACCGACTCTCCAGCTTTCCATTTTTCGTACCCTGCACACTTCAACCACACCTTCCTGATCACCGGACATCCCGCGCGATCCTTTGTCACGTACCCGCGCGACACTCCTGCTCTCGGGTCGGTGAGAAGACCTGCCGAGACCTGGGAACCGCGTGACTCGTACCGACGCGGTTCCGGCGTGAACCAGGCGACTTGTACCTGCGACAGCTCGCCAGCCTGGATGCCGCCAAGACGGCGACGCCCCCCAGATAGTCTGGTCGGACGTATTTTGGGGGCGCAGAGTGGTTGGGCGCTGGAAAGGGTGGGTGGGGAGATAGCATGCACAGCAAAGACATCTATGATTGATCCAAATCTGTAGACCCGATGGTGAGTTCTCAGTGGAGTGGCCCAAGGGCATGGCTCTTTTTTGGAGGATTGCCAGGAGGTTTCGTTGGGCTCGCTGTTTTTTTTGGATGCTGGCCGGATCCACCCAACTTGTTTCCTTGGTGGTTGATCTGATTCTGAAGGTGGAACATGCGAACTTCGATATTTGCACAGGTTTTTTTCGAGTGAGATCCAAGGCTACGGCTACTCAGCCTCGGGAAGGGTGGTCTTGGGTCCTGGCCGGTTTGGGGCTCTCTACTTGGGTTGCAGACTTGGAGACACTTCCCACAATGGATCAGTGTGTCCAGTCCAAACGCTGCAGAGAGCGTGCTAGCAACCAGGTCGAACAACACGCCCGGTGCGACTTCTGGGCGGGAACTCTGCTGCAGATTTCGGGTGTGTATCTTTATAGGGAGACCTCCAACCCATTGGTTTTGGGTCTGTCCCATCTGTCCTTTCTTTAGGGGGTCGAACTGGGGAGGTCTCCCAGGTTTTCACCGCAGAGTGTTCTTTTCCAACCGTATCTCACATCCCAGGCGCTGGCCAGCGGCCGAGTGCAGGCGCTCTTATGGGAGCGGCACATGGCTTGGGTCCTCGGAACTGGGGGCTCCGAGCCAGCTGAGCGGAAGCGAAGATCATGGGGGGTCAGCAGACTCCAGAGCGTTGTGCTATGAAGATGATCCGAGCGTCAGAAGCGTCCGCGCGTTGGCAATCGCGGTGTATGGAATCGGTGGCACGATGTCTGGGCCTGTTGTTTTCTCTATATATACTGTGTGACTTAGTAGTGGGCATTTTGATGAGATCTATATTGACCAACTCTTTCAGTGATTCGGCACAAAGGCCACAAGCCGATTCGTTCAAGCTTTGAGAAGGATCTTGGAGGTTCCAACGGGTTTGCCATTCTGGTTCAGTCGCGCGGAGGTCGCAGGTGGGTGTGTTTTGGATTGAAACAGGTTGTTGGACTGGGCACCTGTAGTCAATATGAATAGCAACCCTTCGAGAATTCCATGGGCTTTGAGACGTTCGTGTACACTTTGTCCGTGGGTTGCGTTCTCTCGCCGCGTCCGAGGCCTATGACTGCGTCTCTTCCGGGGAATGGGTCGAAGCCTGGCAGGCGGCAGATTTGGCGATCCGGCGGACGGTGCCTGACGGACGGTGGTGGCTTGGGAACAGCGTTTTGGGAGTGCTTACCAGAGCTTCAGGTAGCTTATACGGTATAGCTTCAGGTAGCTTCACCCTCCTCATCATTGGCATCCTATCCAATGACGCCAGGTTTGGCTGGGGAGGGAACCACTGTCCATTGGAACCCGACAATTAAACCCAGAACTTCCAATGGCTCGTGACTCATTTTCACACCACCTGGAAGTCATCATCCACCACTGCCACAGGGGTAAAATGAGTCAGTTGGACCCTTCTGGACTTAGCTCAGGTGAGCTCCCAACGAAAAACCACTTCCAAACACAACGACGACGAGTTCCCCCCCTTCACCCCGCCTCCACTCCCCTCCCTCGTGGCCGGACCCGGAACGGCCCTGGGAGGCCACACTGCCGTGGTCGTCCTCCCTCTATGTGGCCACCCGTGACTCGGCATATGCGAAGGCTGGAACCGGTGGCGGTAGAGGAGGGAGCCAATGGGAGCCAGAGCCGGAGCCAGGTGAACAGGGTTTCAAGCACTCTGGGGAAGGTGGGGAGACCACTGGCTTGGCCTTGGTCGTTCAAGCAGGTCTTGGTCTTTCGGTCACACTGGGGGCATTGACGTCACTTGCAGCTTCGCTCCATCCCCACGGTCTCGCTGGTTTACTTGCCTGAAATCCCAGAAATTCCAATTCAACCGCTTTAGAAGCTCAGTAGGTGACATGTGGTCAATCTTCTTGTCGAAAAAACATGAAAAAACTACGCAATTTCTTCCGAATAATTTGCTCCGTGAGGAGGGTGACGACGAGGCGATAACAATGACATCAAAAGATTCAAAAGATGTCAAAAGTTACTGTGTTTCTTTCTTTGCGCGGGCGTGAGTGATACTCGACGCTACCCATGGCAAAAACCTGCCCCGAAAGGCAAAAGCTGCCCTCCGATCGATTCGTGGTGCAAAAACATGCCATTCGTGGTGCCCACGTGTTGCCAGGCGAAGAGTATCCAGAGCTTCATCCAGTGGACGCGCAGCTGCTCGGAGGAGTTCCTCGAGGCGAGGGAGACGTGGGGTGAACCTTTTTGGAGGTTCCAAATGGTTCTTAAGAGTAGCACCGGGCGAACTGCCATAGAAGTGCTGGAATGGTGTCTTAAGGAGTCAAGGTTTTGAGCAAGCTGTGATGCTTGCGCATCCTGCAGCAGGGAAGGCTTGGGAAAGCCTTTGGGACAGCGGTTTTTTGTCGGTTCATTTTCATCACTTGGGGCCGCCAGCCTGCTGAGGCTGACTCGGCCGAGGCTGCGGGGCAGCTGTTGGCCAGCTGGGGATCCCAGCTGCGGGACGGTGAGTCTGAATCACTGCAGGTGCCAGAGGCTCCAAGGTGAGGTTCCAAGGACCCTGCAGGACCCCAGCTATCGCCACCCGGCGCCCATGTGGGGAAATGATCACTTGGAGCTGGGCGGGTGTTACATGGGCCACAAATATGGTTCACCCAAGAGCGGTTCCAAAGCATTGCCTTTTACAAGTGCTGTGGTGCAAGTGATTGGAATCGGTTTGGAAGCCACAAAAGCAATTGGAGCAATCGACTGGGATGCAAACGCTTGCGATCTGACAGTGATTGGTGGAAGATGCCATGCTGATGAGATTCATTCTTTAAGTATGTTTAAGTTCTATTTTTCAGCCATGTTTCAGTAAGATTGCCATGTTTAAGGCACCCCCGTGCCCAAACCTTCCTAAGGAAGGCTGTTGGATTACTGTTGGGACATGTTGATTCACCACACGGACGAACCACGGACTAACCGACTAACACAAAGGAACAACACTTCCCACCGCTGGATTCGAGTCACTTGAACAGCAATTGAGGATCCACATACAGAACATGGCCTCTAACCTCTAGCCACCATCAAACAGTTCACCCATTGAGAGCATTTATTTGGGTTGCACACATGTTGGGTAGAAATCATCAAACGTTGTTTTGTTGCGCACCAACAAACGCAGACCATGGACCCTGGACCCTGGACCTCGCATGGCTGCCGCTTGGTCAGATACCGGTTTTGTGGATCAACATCCAACAAAAACCTGCGTAAATTGACTCAAGTTGATCCATATCCAACATCCATATCCAATATACAATATCCATATCTATATCCAACTCAAGTTGATCCATATCTAATTTACCGTTTTTTTGGGGACCCCGCTCACTTGAATCACAAGGCTTTTGGGTCCCCTGTGTCACCTGGTGCCTTCGGTTGCTGTCAGATAGCTACCGCCTCACCGGGCTGGCCGTGATCGCGTGGCGCGGGGCCCCTTTTGTCGAGCGACACAGATCTATACCGTTTGATGCAGTGCCCCACTAGGGTGAATCAACACGAAGAAGGGCCACAGAGGGTTGGCATTATTGCATGTATATAGTATATTGTTTTGCACCTTGAAGAGGGAACAACAGGAACAACCCAAAGGACGTACCAGCACCACCCAAAGAGTGGTTATTGGATGGAAAACACATGGCCAGGAGGGTCTATAAACACCTTTGGGTGGTTCAGGTATGTATATGGCTCTTATACCGTCCGCGCCCGCCGCAAAGCATCCGGAACTATCACCCTTGCTCGTATACCGTCCTTTGACCAATTCTATGTCTATGACTACATTTCGGTGATCGGAGATGGGGTGATATGTCCAACGTCAGTGGGAGACCCTTTCACGACTAGCCTTCTCTCGCCCACTTTTGCGAATTCGATCGCGAAGACCACCTAGAGATGAAGGTGCCTGTGATAGATCCAAAAAAGAGACAAAATCCGCCAAACGCAGGGGTTGGATCATTCCGACCGAACTGGGACCGGTTCGGTCGGAACACCGTGAGCAACACGCTTGATCGGAAGGGCCTGGGGTGACTTGGTTCTCCAGGTTTGCAAAAGGCAGACCCTTCTTATCTTCTTTTTCAAGGGACAAGTGACAAAAGAGGAAGCTGCATGGCCAAACCATTAGGTTTGGCATGGCCTTCAGCGAGAAGACCTTTGCCAAACCCCGCAGCAGCCAGCTCTCTTTGAACCAACACCCGCACCAAAACAGAGCTTTTCGCACCGAAACATGATCCCACCGGACAGATTTTTTCCGTTTGGACCGCGAGTGTCACAGGTTGAGCTCAATGCGCTGGTGGTGCCGCTCAGAGGTACGCCCATCCGCGGAACGGCCGAGTTCGGCCATGAAGACGACCGTCTCGTCTTACGGTCCTTTGTCTCGTCCCATGGGATCTGATTCCTTCTTGGCTTTCGAGCCTCTTCTTAGTCTTTATGGTTCCAAAAGGAACAAGACATAGATCAAGCTTAGTTCAAAGGAGCCAGGTCTGGGTCACAGCGTCACGGGGTCGGGAGGTGGGCTTGTTTTTTTTTTGGGGGGGTTGCTCGTCACTGGATGTCACAGTTGAGTTCTCTCTCTCTCTCTCTCTTTTTCAGTTGTTTCACAGTTGAAATGAGGGGCAGGAGGGTTGAAATTGAGTTCATCCTATTTCTCAGCTCTTTGAAGTTGGGGTACTTGGCAGGACACGATTTCAGATCTCTAGCTGGCTGTCTTGGAACGTGTGGGATGCCAGAGCGTACAAACTCACACACACTCTGACAATTGTATTCAGTTAACTCTGTTCCCACGTTGAGAAGGAAGGTGAAGGAACGGCAAGGTGCATGAGTCCGCAACAAAGTATTATTGAACATCCTGTTGAAATGCACTCGCAAGCGGTCAGCGCGCGGCTG